TTTGTAGCTGCACAGTAGTTGTAGCTGTACAGTAGTTGTAGCTGTACAGTAGTTGTAGCTGTACAGTATTTGTAGCTGTACAGTAGTTGTAGCTGTACAGTAGTTGTAGCTGTACAGTAGTTGTAGCTGTAAAGTTGTTGTAGCTGTACAGTATTTGTATCTGTACAGTAGTTGTAGCTGTACAGTAGTTGTAGCTGTACAGTAGTTGGAACTGTTCATTTGTTGTAGCTGTACAGTAGTTGTAGCTGTACAGTAGTTGCAGCTGTACAGTAGTTGGAAATGTACATTAGTTTGAACTGTGCAGTAGTTTTAGTTGTACAGTAGCTGTAGCTGTACAGTAGTTGTAGCTGTACAATATTTGTAGCTCTTCGGTAGATGTAGCTGTACAGTTGTTGTAGCTGTACAGTAGTTGTAGCTGTAAAGTTGTTGTAGCTGTACAGTATTTGTAGCTGTACAGAAGTTGGAACTGTACAGTAGTTATAGCTGTATAGTAGTTTGTATCTGTACAGTAGTTTGTAGCTGTACAGTAGTTGTAGCTGTATAGTATTTGTAGCTGTACAGTTGTTTTAGCTGTACAGTAGTTGTAGCTGTACAGTAGTTGTAGCTGTACAGTAGTTGGAACTGTACAGTAGTTGTAGCTGTACAGTAGTTGTAGCTGTACAGTATTTGTAGCTGTACAGTAGTTGTAGCTGTATAGTAGTTTGTAGCTGTGCAGTAGTTGTAGCTGTACAGTATTTGTAGCTGTACAGTTGTTTTAGCTGTACAGTAGTTGTAACTGTGCAGAAGTTGGAACTGTACAATTGAGCTAGCTTTACAGTAATTGTAGCTGAACAGTTGTTGCAGCTGTACAGTAGTTGAAATTGTACATAAGTTGAAACTGTACAGTATTTGTAGCTGTACAGTTGTTTTAGCTATACAGTAGTTGTAACTGTGCAGAAGTTGGAACTGTACAATTGAGCTAGCTTTACAGTAATTGTAGCTGAACAGTTGTTGCAGCTGTACAGTAGTTGAAATTGTACATAAGTTGAAACTGTACAGTAGTTGTAGCTGTTCAATAAAGCTAGCTTTACAGTATTTTTAGCTATATAGTAGTGATAGCTGTACATGGTAGAGCTAGGTTTGCAGTAGTTGTAGCTATATAGTAGTGCTAGCTGTACATGGTAGAGCTAGCTTTGCAGTAGTTGTAGCTATATAGTAGTGCTAGCTGTACATGGTAGAGCTAGCTGTACATGGTAGAGCTAGCTTTGCAGTAGTTGTAGCTATATAGTAGTGCTAGCTGTACATGGTAGAGCTAGGTTTACAGTAGTTGTAGCTACCAAGTACATTAAAGACTTACATTAAAGTTAATATGTATATATTATATATAGAACCAAGTACATTTAATAATAAAAAATTAAACCAGGATAGAAGTACCGATTAGTTTAATTTAAACCAGGATAGAAGTACCGATTAGTTTTAAATGTGTTAAGAACAAATTAAAACAAAAGTCTTTTTTATGTATTTAACAAGTATGCATTTTGCATAGCAAGTGTTTATAAAATGAAATAGGATTGATGGAGGGGAGTTGGGGGCTTTTATGTATAGGGATGGATCGTTTTCACATTTTTTGAAAAACGTTGTTTCGTTTTAAAAACGAAGAAGGTGCAGTACCTTAGTTCATAGTAAATGTGCATAAGTTGCATAGATCATAATAATTGGATCTTTAGAAAATGTTTGTGTAATTTAAAACGATTTAAGTAATCTATACTTTGTTGACATTTACAAAACCCGAGAAATTGAATTCTTTGATTTTCCATCAAATTGTTTTTAATGTTTACAATTTAAATTGTTTTTCTACTTTTCAAATTTGGTATTAATTTATATCTAAAAATATGTTGTCTAAGCTTTTATAGTGAATTTTGTGTACATTCCCTTTCGTTGGAATTTCCATGAAGTATTTTCCCCGTGCAGGGTGTCCCAAAAAGCATGACAATGAAGTGACGATGTCATTCCTCCATGTGGCATTATGAAGTGAACCCACTTTTTACTAGTATCTCAAAAACCCTAAAAGGATGAATTTTTCCGCCTGAAAAATTGACGGAGATATTAATAAATTTGACCATATTTCAATTTATTATAACATCATAATTATTCAAATGTTTAATATCTCTGTAAATGTTAAAGAAGGGAGACAACATTTGAAAAGTTCATAAGTCGTAAAATCTCTTAATGTTCATGTTTATTGGGACACCCTGTAGGTCGATCCAAGGAGTCCCGGGGCTTTTCTTGGGAGTCTAGTCCAGATAATAATCCTTCGTATAGTTATTAGTTATTGCATAGTTGCAGCAGAATTTTATGCACTTTTACAGGCATATGCAGTTACATAGATAGATAGATATAAATAGACAGATAGATAGAGAGACAGATAGATAGATTGACAGATATATAGATAGACAGAGAGATAAATAGACAGATAGATAGATTTACATATAGAAAGAAAGACAGACAGATAGTTCCAGATGGTACCAAATTGTTCCAGATAGTTCTAGATAGTTCTAAATATTTCCAAATAGTTCCAGATAGTTCCAGATAGTTCTAGATAGTTCTAAATAGTTCCAGATAGTTCCAGAGAGTTTCAGATAGTTCCAGATAGTTCCAGAGAGTTCCAGATAGTTCCAGATAATTCCAGATAGTTCCAGATAGTTCCAGATAGTTCCAGATAGTTCCAGATAGACTAGATAGTTCCGTGTTAATTAATTTGGCTTAATTGTAGCCTTTTTATTGTTTTATTTAATAAATTGGTCAAGAAAGAAACAGGTTTACAGTTTTAGGGAATCATAAATTCAACGAAACAGAAATATAAATGTATACTCTCATTTCTTTTAGCAGGAAACAAACATAATGCTGTTATAAATACATATATGTTTATTTAGATATAAGTAGATAGCCATAAAAATCTACAGATCGTGAATCGACTCATTATATACATTGCGTGTGTAAATTATGCCTTTTTCAAACAAAGCAATGATAAAAATATTTAATATGTCTTATTCAAATTTAAGGCTGTATGAAAATCGTAGGTCAAATGTTTGAATGTCTGTGGTTTTAATGCTTTCAAGGTCAATAAAATGGTATTTATTTGACGCCTATGTAACCCAAGCATATGTCAAATTTTATCAGATATTTTTAATAAATCAGATGTTTGATGTTTACAGTGTAGACATTCAAGGTTTATTGTTTTAGTTTTCATATTTAGAATTCCAGAATACAGTAGAATAGGAAGACGACAGTATAGCAATACAAAATTATATTTGACGTTGTTACAAAACAAAAAGAGTTTTACTATTTTGACTTATTAAATCTCTTAAAAATATTTTTTTTTACACTCCACATTTGCTGTGTCTCATGTTTATTGGACTATTTAAAGGCATAACTTTAGTTTAAAAGTCGTCTTCCTGTTTTAGGGTTGATGATGTTTACTGTATTCAAATAAGAGCTGAGATACTTTAAAAAAATGGTGAAATAATCAGAATAGACACTTACACAGTAAAAGAGCAAAATTATAGAAAAAATAAAAGGAAGCATGCGGCATATATACTAATTAAATTAAGATCGAACAGCTAAATACCTTATAGAAAAGTAGCATTTCGAAAAGCACTAACAAATCATTACAGTTTGAGTTAGTACAGATCAATATTTCTTCTTTTTATACTTTTTTCTGCATCCTGTATCATAAAATATGCAAAAGTATCACCTCTTCTGAGTTCTGATGAAATTAGCGGTGGTTTTGTTGATAATTGACTTGAACATTTTTGGCTTTTTAATAGGATTTTCTTCAGTTTAGGAAATATTTTGGCCAAAATATCTAAAACAAATTTCACTGAGACATGAGAGAAATTGATAAATATAATGAAGCCATCATTTATTTGACGAGGAAAATGTGGTGACTTGAAAGACAATGGTTAAATACGTTTTACTAAAGTAGGGGGCGCGAACCGCTTGTAAAGCTAGGTATCTTTACTCTATAGGTAGACTATAAAGCATGATTCATAGCCCTCAGGCCCCCCCCCCCCGTCATAGTTGGCAATTTTGCAATTTTAGAAATATCTGAAATTATACCAAGCAATGATTTTCCAAAAGCCCCCATTGAAAACAACATGTAAAAATGAAAATACATTTGTAATGAAGTGAAGTGATTAAAATACGGGTTGTCTCTAAAGTAGTGTGTGTTTAAGCCTTTTCATAAATAAAGTATCGGCGATGATAGACAAATAAAGTGTCGGCAATGATAGACAGATCAAGTGTCGGCGATGCTAGACAAATAAAGTGTCGGCGATGATAGACAGATGAAGTGTCGGCGATGATAGACAAATAAAGTGTCGGCGATGATTCATTTTGCTCTAAAATGACGTTTTTAGAAAATAAATTAAAAAACGTGCTCGGTCTCTTTTCTAAAGATTTTAAAAGAAAATTTAATTATTTTTTCTTTTATTTCTCTTTATATGTTTATATGTTAAAGTTGCTGATATATAATATGTAATCATGTATTCAAGAATTTATTGAATAAAATAAAAGTTTTCCTTGGTTTTGTAAAATCTTTGGAGAAGATCGAATAAGCACATTTCCCAAAAGTAGGTCGATTTTTTAAAGTTAAAACGACATTTTCGAGCAAAATGGTTCATCGATGACCCCCCCTGTTCTGGGCATTATATAGAGTAACTTTTTATTAAAACGTTGTTTTTAAGGTTAATAGATTAAAAACACTTTTTTTCAGAGACACTCTGTAATCTGTATATATATCAAGAAATTACAATTTTATATGCATTTCAGCAAGATTGTCTCAGTTTCTTTTCTATAAAAACCACAAAACACTCTGGTCGCTAATTCATTCTTTCACGCACAAGCGCGCATCAGTGTTGTGCGCGCAAATATGTGAAGCATAAAATAGGAAAATCATCTTTAATTGGCGCACAATATTTTCTGTGGACGTATATGATTTAACTAATTAATTTTAATATTTTAGAAAAAGACTTTAAAATGATCTGAAAATGATAACAGTATGACAAAGGATTAAAAAAAAATGACTCGGTAAGTTTTTACTTTTAAAAAAGCACTTTTTAATACTTTTTTTAATTCAAATTTTTCTTTTGGAAAATAGCTTTGACTAGAAACGCAGAGACTAATACATGATGATATTGGTTTTGACTAGGCTGTACAGAGATAAACAGAGACTAATAATAGTTGGTATAGGTCTAGACTAGACTGTACAGAGATAAGTAAAGACTAATAATAGTTGGTATATGTCTACACTAGACTGTTCAGAGATAAGTAGAGACTAATAATAGTTGGTATATGTGTCTAGACTAGACTGTTCAGAGATAAGTATAGGCTAATAATAGTTGGTATAGGTTTAGACTAGACTGTTCAGAGATAAGTAGAGACTAATAATAGTTGGCATATGTTTAGACTGGACTGTTCAGAGATAAGTAGAGACTAATAATAGTTGGTATTTGTCTAGATTAGGCTGTTCAAAGACAAGTAGTGATTATAAATAGCATAATTTTAAAGATGTATTTTACCAAATTATGAGTACCTTAATGTAGAAATCCAATATTTTCAAATTATTCTTTATGTTTCAGAATTGTACTGTATTTTGTACTGCTAGGCAGTATAATCTGTACAGCAAGACCAAGTACAAATTCAAATCTACAGAAACCCAAAAACCCCCGAAAACTAGTCGAATCCCGAATATTCAAAATCCTACCCCCTCCAACAAAATCGAGAGTGAAAGAAGTTAATCGTGCAAACAGCAAGGAAGTGAATTCGATATTTGACGATAACAGTTTACAAAAACGGAACAGAAAAATCAATGACATTATAAAAAAGTTGACGGAAAATGATATAGTGCGTTTACCCATAAAGTTTATATCCAATGGTGGACCCTTGTCCAAAGAAAGTAAACAAAATACAGTTGAAACATATGTTACACCTATAGAAGTAGATCCAAGTGCAGGTGAGGTGAGTACAGTACCCCTTGGTGAAAATGAGAGTGAAACGGAGATTCCAACACCTGTTACATATCCTACAATACTCATAAACAACCAAACAAACGATCAATTCAAAGATGAAAGTTCGAAAATCCCCGAAAGTTTAAATTCGTACCCAACAGAAGCTAACATTTTAGAAGATTTGAAACCAGTAAATCTTCCAAACGATGATATGGAAAATCCTGAAAACTTTAGTGTAAAAATCCCGGAGATTATGGAGGAAGAAATGACTGAATCATCCTTAGAGATTTCAACGTCAGCTCAACCCCCAACTGATGATGAAATAGACCCAGATATAAATGTGTTGGAAACCCAGATTATCAAGGATATCCACACAACTCCTAAACCCGGGATTGTATCCCAGTATCCGACATTTGGATACCCAAGCTCAACCAATGAATACTGGCCTGGGACAACTGGATACCATCCAAACAGTATAGAAGGATACAATCCAAATAAATATGGAAACAAACCTTTTAACGGAGGACAAACTCCTATTTTCTGGAATGTTCAATATTCATTGCAATTCCCAACTTACATGTACTTGCAGTTTCCAATCCGAAGCTTCTACTATATACCTTAGAAAATCGTTAAGACATTTATGTACAAAAAAAAAACATGCAAATACAAATTATATTATGTACTGCAAGCTTTGGATGTTTTTCAAAACCTTTTTATCTGATAAATACGCATGCCAAACAGTAATGGATATATTGTTTAATTAGTTTGAATTTTTAAAAACAGAGAAACTCGAAAACATTTTCGGCGCGAATCATTAATCCTTAATGTCGTCTTTTAACTGGCCTGTTCATTAGAACACCCCAATACTAATTCAAATTGCTTCAAATAAACAAAATACATTCTTTTCTTCAAATCACGCATGAACTAACGAGGGCGAGCTGTGTTTGGTTTCTGTAATTCAAATTCAATCCCGTTTTGGTCTAGACTTCAACAAGCGATAAACTTACGAAATTGTATTTTACCACTTTTTCATATAAACCGCATCCGCCGATGATAATCTATATATAAATTTAGCTTGTCTGTTTGTTTGTTTGTTTGTTTGTTTGTATCCAATAAACGTCAAAACGGCTCAACCGATTGGGCCCAAATTTTTTGTGGGACATCACGTGACCACAGGAAAGGTTTATGACTGATAAAAATTTTTAAAAAGTGTTTTAAAGGTTTCAAATTTTGTAAAAAATTTAAATTCTTGAAAATCCGCGAATTTTTTTTTTAAATCCGCAAAAAAATTTTCTTCTTTGTTTTAAAATGTAAACAAAAAGAACATGTTCACAATTTAAATAGAAGATGGGCGCGAAGCGCCTTGATTTTCTAGCAGAAAAACTATTTAATTCCTGTAAAATTGGTTAATCTGATGAGTTATTTTCCTTTAAACCGGTTTAAACTAGATTCATTAGATTAAAAAATGAAATTGAATTAATTCATTTAGAAAATAACAAGAAAAATAGACTTTTTTGGCATTAATTTCTTTTGATATTTAGTTTTAAAACACATGGGCTGAAAAAAGATAATAAAAAAAATTACGTGTCAAATGTAAATAGTTGTATCCAAAGGCTATCCTTTTGTCATATGTATAAAATATTGTATTTTTTAAATAATTTCTATAAAAATAAATTTGTTTCAATAAGAAACGGGGGATCAATTGTCAAAATTAGAATTACAAAAAAAATTGGAAATTATATGCTGAATTCCCTAATCTATTTATTTCTTTATAGAAATGATGTTTAAGAGATATGTATTCTTTTCAACTTTTTATCAAATGTTTCACTTCTAAAAATATGACATTAGAGTTTACGTAAAAGTGAACTTTTTTCAGATTTTGTAAATTGTAAAATCTAATTATTTTACTGACATATATTTTTGATCGAGTTCAGAAATAAAACCTAAGTCATGATTTCGGAGTTGTAAATCTGCAAATCAAATTCTTGGCAGAAAAATTTGCAATCAATAAAAATTGTATCTCTTATGGCTTTCAGGTCTAAAACAGAGAAGCAAATAAGAAAGGGGTGGGGTTATTTTAAACATAACTATATTCATGTTTACATATAGGCGAGTTGGCAACATTGTTCAATTTCTAAAAAAATATATGTAATTATTGTAAATCAAACCATGGCAGAATAATTGTTGATCATGAATAATATATTTTGAATTAATTAATGTTCAAATACGGAAAAAAGTATATACTCATTTTTTTAAAATGTTTTTATTGTTTGCTAACATAAATAAACATAAATAAACACATTTCGTTTTAAAAATCGTTTGTGTACAACTAAATAAGCAAAGGATATTCTTACATAATTCTATCAATTTTACTTTTAGAAAGGTAGAGGGAGTGTTCGCGAAAAAAATATGTTATAGGCTAAATCCGAATCAAGGCTTAGATCGCCACTAATTTGACTTTTATCTACAGTAATTATAATGAGGAAATGTCTGAAAAGGCTTAATGAGAATTCATGTAAATTCATTAAGCTTCATTCCAATTTAACCGTAAATTATTTAATTAGTTTTATAGCTGACTTTCTAAATATTATAAAACATATTTCGATTTTTTGGTTCATTTGAATGCAGAATATCTAACAATATCTTTTATCTTTATAAGACGCGAGTGCAAATTTTAGAAAAATTCATTCCAATTTCGTGAACTTTTAAGAACGAAGACGATATCTTTAGTCAATGAATCGTTCTAAACTATTTAGCCTTTGTCACAAACTCTGATTTTATAAACCAATGTCGTAGAGCTTGCTATTTAAATTTTGGATGCAAAGATGTAGGAAATAGAAAATATTGGTCTATGGCAAAGACAAAATGGCAAAGACGGATTTAGCCTATATAATACCCCTTTCATTTTCCACAACACTCCCTGTAAATTGTTTTTTTCCTCCGCTTAAATATTACCAAGGGTTTAATGCAAGGAAAGTTAATTTCGGTCGTGTATACTCTGCGTACATATTGAAACAGTTCTCTTTGGACAGAATTTGTAAACAAGAATAGATGCATCAGTGTTCGTTTAGTATCCGAGGAGGTTAAAAGCATTACATTTTGATAATTTTAATAATTCACATAATAGTTTTCTATGACCAGAATATTTCATTGATTTTTTATGTGAAAGATGGATTCCATGTCAGGCTTTGACATACGTCTTGTGTTTACATTACCGCCATAAGACAGTACACTGCAGTACAACAGATGTGTACACTTCTGAAATAACTTTCCTTGCATTACATTCTTGAATATTACAAAATCTTTAATTCATTCTCCGTTCTAAAAGCTTTAAGTGTGGACACGCTTTGCAGAAATACAATACGTAGAACTCTACATGATCAGAATTAACATCTTTTATTATTATAATCTTTTAGGGTAACCTTGATGAAATCTTAAATTACTTATCATCATGATTTTCAAAACTCAATTCCTGAGCTTTAACATTTAATCAGGGAGCCCAGGGAGACTAAAAATTAGGAAATACGGGCATTTTTGTCAACTGTGCTTTTTTACGTCGGGGTTCTGCAAATTTGAAACAGATTTTAAAAATGCCTGAAAACTATGAAAATCCGCTAATAAACGTGAAAATCTGCGAAATTTATTGTTTTTTTTCAAGCACGAAGAAATGGGGGTGACATTGAGAGTACTAGAAGCAATATTTATCTCTAGAAAGTGTCTTTTTATTATATATATTACGTTCATTTCTCTAATCCGTTTAGAAACTTGGATATTTCATTTTAGTTTTTTTTTGCATGGTAATTGTGTTTTCATATTTTTACAATTTTCTTCTGTTAATATGTTTACAATTAGGCTGGATTAACTAGACCTGTGTAAATGCAAATAAATCACTTTTTAAGAATAAACAAATTTTAGTTGAAAAAATGAAAAAAAAATCATTTGTTCTTGATCAGACGACAGGATGCCATTGTAAAGATGACATACCACTCTAAAAATGGGGGAATCACATGAAAAACATGGCCCAACTTTATGACTCAATCTTCGACTCAACTTTGACGACAGCTTTTGTCACGTGATTGACAGCTGCAAGATCTTCGGCTCGACTTAAAGAGTTAGGCCCAATGAAAATAAAACCAACCTTGGTTCTACCGTGGTCAGCATATATATCAATACAAACCGTTAACGTCAATACAGTTTTTGGTACTGAAATAGTTATATAAAAAAGGCGGACATATACTTCAAGACAGTATCCGGCACTGAAATACAACAGGATAAAGAGTGGTGTGTGCATGCACCAAACCAATGAATAAGCAGACTCTGTATTGATATATATGCCGACGAGTGTAAGTATTGGTCTCAAACATTACATGCTAAGGTAGAAAGAAGCCGGACTAAAAATATGTAAGTATTGGTCTCAAAAATTAATGATAAATATGGTAGAAAGAAGCCGTACTAAAAATATGTAAGCATTGGTCTCAAATGGTAGAAAGAAGCAGGACTAAAAATATATAAGTATTGGTCTCAAACATAACATGCTAAATATGGTAGAAAGAAGCAGGACTAAAAATATGTAAGGATTGGTCTCAAACATTACATGCTAAATATGGTAGAAAGAAGCAGTACTAAAAATATGTAAGCATTGGTCTCAAACAACTCATGCTAAATATGGTAGAAAGAAGCAGTACTAAAAATATGTAAGCATTGGTCTCAAACAACTCATGCTAAATATGGTAGAAAGAACTAGGACTAAAAATATATAAGTATTGGTCTCAAACATTACATGCTAAATATGGTAGAAAGAAGCAGTACTAAAAATATGTCAGTATTGGTCTCAAACATAACATGCTAAATATGGTAGAAAGAAGTAGGACTAAAAATATGTAAGTATTGGTCTCAAACATTACATGCTAAATATGGTAGAAAGAAGCAGGACTAAAAATATGTAAGTATTGGTCTCAAACATTACATGCTAAATATGGTAGAAAGAAGCAGTAATGAGACTGTTACAAAATGCCAGTCTTTCCGAATCAACCTTAACTACAAAAAACGCACTGTTTTCTGTCTTTTCTACCTAGGGTTTAAGCCAGGTGTATTTAACGCGATATTTTACACTAAACTAACTATTTATTGAAACATAAGGTTACAGGTCAAATGGGTGACCGGTGTAGCGTGACCGGTGTAGCGGGCACCCAACTATTACATAAATATATTTACAAGGTACATGAACGATAAAGTTAATCTTTTATTTGGTTACGAAATATCCATAAAATGATGATAATAGTTATTAGAAGGAATGTAGATAGATATCAGGTTTCCCTGATATAGTACTCGGGGATATTTATTACAAGACTTCAAAGACGCCTGTAAGAAATCTATACTGTCTGTTTCCTTACATTCATATTCTCTACAACTATTAACTTAAATGTAGTTCTTTGTAAAATTAATGAATAAACAATTAAGCTAAATTTTAGGGCAGAAGTTAAGCCTTTGAATCTTTATAACTAAAAAGTTTTAGGTCGTCTTTACAGTATTATTCTATAAATTGAGGTCAAGCTTCTCAAGGGAACTGTAAGCGTAATTTTAAGTGACAAAGATGGCAATGTCCGATTTACAACAATACTCTTCAAAGAGCTTTGGCTGATCAAATATGAATTAGATTTTAATCTAAGCTGAAAACTATAGAATGGTGGATATCAAGATTAATGCTTAAACTCCTGAGCCGGACACTTTTGAATGGTGGATATCGGGATTAATGCTTGATGTCATCTTTTTCTTAATCTCCAGATTAAATAATGCTTGTTCTCCTCTTTTTTAATCTCCAGATTAATTAACTGATCGGGATTAAGGATATTTAATTCTAAAGTTCCCAGCTCTGGTTTTACTAAACTCAAGATTATTTTAAAACGCATTCGATATCCAAGAAAGAAGTTTAAATTTAACCAATCAATGTGTCATAATAAGATGTACTCTTTAACTTTTGAAAAAACCGGTTTTGATTTCTGGTGTTAATGGTGTCATATTTCAATTGAACTAAACATCGTTGAACGAACGTAAGTTTTGGATTAATGTTATAAAGACTAACGTTCATAATAACAATAGTCCTAAAATATTTTTTTTTGATAATTTCATACTAAAATGATTAAATTTATATTTGTTTAAATGCTCTAAAAGCCGGCTTGTGAACAGCTGACTTTAGTTCAATCGAATATTAGTCCAATCGATACAGCATTGTATCTGTAGTTGTTATAAAACGTAACTTTTATACAGAAGAAATATCCAAGAAGAATTGATTCTCAGAAGAAAATCAAAAGTGTGTTATACATTGGATGCTCAGATTAAGCGATCGTGATTAAGAATATCTCATTCTAAAGTTTTCAGCTCTTGTTCTTCGTTTAAGCTGTTTATTTTCATTTGCGGTTTCTCTACGAAATGTTTCTCATTTTCTTATCAGAACCCAACTCAAAAACCTCGTCTTTCCAAATTTACTGAAATGTCCAATTCTTGCGGATAATTTTTTTAATCTGGCCATTTAGGGCATAAATATTCTTCAAATAAACATTTCTAAATCTGGGAAAGACGAGGATTTCGAGGTGGCTCGGACGAGAAAATGAGGAGACATGTGAATCGGAAAAGAATTTGATGCACCATTCTATTCTTAGATAAAGTTAGTGATCTTGTTATATTTGAAACATTGCAATATCGACTCAGACAGAAAAACAATGTTAGTTAAGTACATTCATTTTATCCCATAACAATCCAAATCATTCTCGGGATAAATATATTTCTGAAATGTTTCTTCTCACAACAACCTTTTTAAGTCAAAATGTCTAAACCGTTTGGGCGCAAATTAATTGTGGCAACTACCATGATCAAGAGAAGGTTTATGGTTGGTCGAAATGGAAAATGGTCACTGCCAAAAATGGCATCATTTGTTATATTTAAAATCCCCCCCCCC